GGCCGCGGCCGCCCCCGCTGCCCTTAGCAGACACAGCGAAACCGAGCTTTAGGGACACTCTGCGCTCGGCGAACTGAGGATTTATGGATGGCAATTAAAGTTTTATGAATTGCAGCTGAGGCTGGTTATGGAGCTATTTGAATGTGATTAGAATTCAATTAGAAAGTGTTTACCGGTCGGCGGGGCTCCGCAGAGTAAACAGACAGCTATTCCAGCAGTGCCCTAATCCCACGTCTTGTGACAACAATTAGGGACTCGCAGGGTTTAGGCGGGTCAGCTCAGACCTCACCTTCTTTTCCCCAAACCGCTCCCGCTCTCCGGGCAGCCCGGCGAGGCGCTAGGGACCGCTGCCCCCGCGATGCGAGGCTGCCAGGGAAGGGGCTCTGCCTCCTGAGCCTCTGGAGGGGCCAACGCGATTTTAATTACGGTCACAGCGGCCAGTTATGGGATTTTGCCCAGATCTCCCCATGTAACACCAGTTCTTATCTGGCGGAGATTTGGATTCATCTCTGTTTTTCCTTTTCTTGTCTCTCTCTCTCTTTTTTTTTTTCTTTTTTTACGAGAGGCTACTGTGGAAAAGGGTGAACCGCCGCCTTCAGTGGAACGACCTCTGTCTGCAATGATAGAGCAGATCTGGGGAGGGGGCTGTCGTAAGGGAAGTCAGACAGAGTAAGAGTCAGATCAAAATTGCAATTTGTAATTGTTATAATAAACCATGTGCAGTGATAAAAAAGAGAAGAAAAAAATAGGAAAAGAAAAAGCCACCGCTGAAAGCAAGAGCAAGAAGTGATTTGAAAGCAAAGATATCCCAAACCAGGCGGAATGATGTAAGGCGTGCGCCCACATCACATCGGCCTCGTTACAATTTTATTTTTCAATAATTCTGTCCGATAAAATTTCATTGTCCATTAAGTAATCCCCGAAATGAGAGCTCTTATGAGCCTATAATGAGCTCTAATTGCTACGACTGGGAGAGCCACGTGGAAGGATTTAGAAGGTATTAAGCAGTTGGGTACAGAGCACAGGCTGTTACCTAGCCATTACTTTCATAATTCAAGGAGAAAATTAGTCCTTTTAAGGGAAAATCCTTTGATTCCCTTCATTCTGCTCGGGGTGACAGAGTATAGCTTTGTCTGCCTTTAGTTCAAGACAGTGTAACAAATGAGAATGTAACGAAATTGCCCCCTTTTGAAAGTGGAGCAGTTCAAAAAGAACATCAGAGCCGCTCCCCTGGTCTGCAAAGTGTAGGACTGGGTGCTGGTTCCTCTTTTCTTCCAGATGTCTCTAACACCTTTATATAGAAGAGATTCACGGCTTAAATGACAAAAGCAACTCTT